AAAATCAGTGTATTCCACACTGTCTCACAGTATAATATTCTCTAGCAGCTTACAACTCTTTCCAACTTTTGATTGAAGCCATATGATGTTTACACTGAATCAGTCGAATACTCAAAACTCCATGTTTCTGTGGCTACACAATTCCATCAAATGCAAATCTTTCCCAAACAAACCTGACAGGTTTGGTATTTCTGGAAACTTTGGGATCGCCACTTGCATTTAAAAGAGTTCTCTGTGTTTGAACAATGTCTGGACAGTGTGAGTTTGTAAATGGCCCATCGGTGGCCTGCTGCATGCTAATAGGTTTTAAGAGTTCCTGTCCTCTCTCTTGTTCTTTCTCTGTTTGTCTCTCTTCTTCTGTGACTGTGTGTGTGTGTGCATCTCTCTCTGCAGATGGCCAAGTACAGGAGAAGTGCCTGACCAGTCAGACTCTAACCTATAGCTCTAAATCCTTAATCTAATCCCTACCCAGTCTCGGTCAACAGAGCACGTTAGTCAATCACTCGATGTGCCTAATCCTGTATCACCACGGTCTGATTACACGGCAGTCTTCAGCTCTTGTTCTGATTTCTTTGAGAATTAATCACATACCCCTTAGACATGAACCACAACGGGGGGTTTCACCAGCTCTCTTATGAAAACACATTTTGTGCCTATTGCATAATTATTTTTATTGTATTATCACATTAGCTGTGTATCAAATTCAGCTGAATTTGCTGTGTAGGATATGGTGACATAACAGTGTTCTCCTAGAAAACTAGCCTGGTACAGCCTGACGGCATCTGTGCAGAATACTGTAGGGATCAATTTGAATTATTCATGCTTCATCCTTGGGCCACAATCTTTATCAAACATAACAGAGCCGGTACCTTGGGATTACTGTAGCTCCAATCAAAAAGTGTTATATGTGTGTATTCAAGCCCTTGTTTATCATTTTCACAGATAATAACTGACAAACTCCCACAGTGCTCTGGCATTGATCCAGTGTTGACAATAAGTTATGTTAAAGGAGGAATCAATTGATTTTCCACATGGCGGTCAGGTTACCTGTCATGTGGAGAACTACTCAGCCTGTGCAAACAGCTGTACGATGTCTTCAGTGGCTCTGGAGGAGATGGTGATGTCAAAGGGTTATCAACCCCTTGGGCTTGGAGATGATTTATTAATGAAAAGCCTGCGTTAGGGTTAAAGTTAAACTAATTAATTAACAATAATTTAACATTTCTTGCCAAGAGTTAGATGAGAATATTGTTAGCACTGTCCTGTCCGTTCAATATGTAGCTGCCTGCAGCAACATTTAAGAGGATCTATTCATTGGTGTATCAAGTGTATAATCACCTGGAAATAAGAATTTGTTATTCTTCTTCTTCTCATTCTTATTCTCATTCTCTCACACTTTAGGAATTTACTGCTACTGGCCAAGAGATATTCTGCCCTCAAAGGGAACTCATGAGCTTGTGGTTAAGACATGGCAAGTTATGTGCAAACTCTGAGCCTTCAGAAAATTTCCACTTTGGAAGTTGTGAATACCACAAGAAATGTTCACATGGACTCTTCTCATGAAGACAGTAAGGTCTAATAAAAAAACATAATTGAGTTGAATTATCAGAAGCCTTGCATTAAGCGTTTAGCCTTTGTAGGGAGGCACGCTTAATTATCAGGACCGATAAACGATTGATAGGCTTTAGGCTCTATGCTCAGTATGTTTGAATGAACTTTACTTTACCCTACCAAAAGTGATCAGCTAGATTTGGTTAGAAACATTAAATCATGCATCTTTGTTTAATGTACAAGTCACCGAACTTTATGGATGTGTAATACTAAATTGCTGGATTGCCTCTTTAATGCCTTTTTGTGTCCCACTGACAGGGAGGCATTCACTGACCAGGCGCCATCATCACCACAACCAATCATCTATCAACAAGGAGGCCATGAGCACCAGGATGGTGCTCAGTGATGACTCGGCAGAGAGGGAGCACCTGATCGGAGCAGGGCTCGGGATCGGGGCTAAACTCCCACTCAGCTCCACCAAACATCACCATTCTCATAACAAGCACGCCCACCTAGACTTCGTAGAAGAGGACCCACCTGTCGGAGAGGAGCTCACTGCCGGAGGGGCGGGTCCAGACCAGCCCGGAAACTCCTTGTCTGATGACGTCATCACCGTGGAGTTTCACAGCCCTGCGCCGGATATTGTGCCCTCTGATGTTGCTCTAGATTGGGCCAAAGCTCCAAAACCCCAGAAGCAAAAAGGTGGAGACCCTACTGCATGGACACTTTCTGACTTTTACGACTACCTGTCCCCTGATGACGACCTCTCGGCGGTAGATGCTACCCCAGAACCCGAGCCCACCCCTTCACCCCCGGCCGACATGGAGGACGAGAATCCGCTCCTGGCTGGTTCTCCTGCTGTTCCTGAAAGTATGAGGCCCGACGTGGATAGCAGGCCCTCCTTAACAGCTCCTCCCATGCCAGGCCTTGAAAAGGGTGATGGGTTAGGGGGCGCCATGGGGTCTGATGGCTGCAGGCTGGGCTTTGTGCGCTCTGGACCTGGGGTTTGTGTGTCTCAGTGTGACACTGAACCCAATTTCTGCTTCAATGGAGGAGTGTGTACCGTGGTGGCAGGGATGGGAGCCTTCTGTAGGTGAGAAAAATACAAACACACTGGCTGATTTGTTGTCCTTGGGTAAATTGTAAGGAGATTACAGTCTTCCCTTTTCCATCTTGGTTTGTATGTTTAGTAGAGTTTACAAGACGTTTTAGAGAAAAACTGGTGCACATGCATATGTACTGCATGAATCTGGCAGCAGGGGGTTTTGGGGGGGGGGGGTGTTAGGCACTAAAACATTACCCTATTTAATTTGTCTTGTTGGGATGATTTCCAATATGTTCCCTCTTCAACACAAAGGAAAGATTTAGGACACTTACATACAAGCGTACAGACACTGAAAACACTGGCACGCACATAGATAGAAGGTTGGCTTAATGTGTCATGAGGGTTCGTCAGGATCACAGCAGGGTCGCCAAAGGATTAGCTCAGTTTTGGGGGCAGGGGGTGTGTGTGTGTGTGTG